TTTTTTAAATGACTCAGTATGGAGAAGGCCAGCTTAGAGCTGGCTTGCAGAGGCTCTTTTTGAAGTCTGGGCTCCTTTCTATGTGACCAGTGATGCCAATCAAAAACATCTAATCTAGAATACAATAAAGAAGGACCCCTGCTTTTTGTAGTTTATACTGGAGCTACATAAACAAGCGTTCATTTTAGGGCATGAAATGGATCTGTTGGTACTCTTCTGTAAATATTTATAGGGCAAAAGACCAGAGTTTATAATATTCTTATTATCATGCCTCTGAGAAGAGGAGTACTGAAATTCTAGTGCTCCTAGGATATCCATTGCTAGAGGCCTGTATAAACAAAACTAGGCATTTTTATTTGGGTAGGGGAGAGACTAGATGAGTTCTTAAGGTAGCTTCCAGCCTTTTCATTCCAGATGCTATAGGTGAAGTTTTGTAAACTTTTTAACCTGTACTTGAAAAATGCTTAACCTGAACATCAGTATGCATTCAGCCACTGTTTATGAATCAACACTGTTTGATTTGACTATTTTATCTGTTAAGACACTTTCCAAGACTATCCCAGATTCCTCTGCAGATTTTTTTTTGGTTGTAGATACATGCTTGCTAAGATTCTCATGTGGCTACTGGAGACATACCTGGAGAAACAGTGTGACTGTTTCAGACCAGACATAAGATTGGACATCACAGTATTTCTCTGGTGTTTATGTTTGTTACCTGGTTTCAGTATAGCCTATAATCAGTTATTCCCCGAGTGACAGACAGTATTTCAATTTTCCTCTGAGATGGCTAAGCTGGAAAAGAACCTTGTCTCTTAGCCCTGGCTCTCATGCATTTGGACTTTGGCAGGCAATATCTGATAGTAGTTTTTCTGGACTTTAAGGATAACAGTATGATTGATGGCTAAAAAGACAGAAGAAAAATAAGGATTTCTGTCACTGACCTTCCAGTGACATTGTTGGAACAGAGAGTGATAAATCAAACTGCATGTGTAGAGCATGTACTTAACTTATGTTATATTCTGTAGTGCCTTTGAATAAATATTACCAGACAATTATATAACAGGGAAATTATTTTACATTTTTCCCTCTGATGGGAAGGTTGCTACTGTTACTTTTCTTATTATTGCAATGATATTTGATAAACATTTCTGTTTAACATTTCTGCAGATCTGTGTTTTTCCATCAGAGTTTGCAGAGATGTTCAGAACAAACTAATTCTTTGTTCTGCCTTCTTTCCTCATCTTGGTTATTATCGTGCTCCATAAACGACACAAGTGATCTCAATTAGCAGCTGTCACCAGCTGGAGGTGTATGTTTGTCCCAAGTCCCGTGACACTTGTGTGTCTTTGACCATTCCTTCCTACTTTGCTGGATGCAAAAATTTTGCTGTTGCTGACTAGATCCTGTGTAACTATGTTTGAACCTAGTTCTTCCAGGCTAGAGAAGAATCCTAGACGCATGCCAGCACCCCTTGGCTGGTAAGTGAGCTTGCCACTGGTCAAGTGAGCCAGTACATCTTGCTAGATGCAGTATGCCCTGGGAAAGAGGAGTTTTGAAATCAGTCAGCACTGGACAAGCTTTTAGTGTGAAGTAGAAGAATATGATTGTACTAAAATACAAAGCTTAAGAGACCAGCTGCTGTGCTTTGTGAAGATGCAGAATACTCGAGCATAGCTCACCACAGAGACAGGCTGCTTTGGCTAGTTTCTGTCTTCTGCTCACCTGGTTATCATGATGCTCATGCTGCCTCCCAGGACAATTCACACTGCTGCTAGATCTGTGATCTGGATTTTAGGACTTTTTATCCATACGTGGTTTTATGGTTCATGGTTTACCTCTTTCATGATTTAGGACGAGAGCTTCTCCTCATATCTGTTTTCTCAGCTATGAATGCCAAAACTTAGCAACCTTAGTATTTGTCATTACCATTATCAAACTCTTTCCTTTCTTTGTGAATGAAAATATTCCTCAAGCTTTTTAAGCTGTAGTATACATTTAATATTTTATAACATATATGTTATATACCACATTTTACACAAAAAGGTAAAACAATGAATGTATTCATCACTACCTCTTGACAGAAACTAACAGCAAATAGTCTGGGAGTGCAGTGTATTTGGGGTAAGAGGTTCATAAACATACAATAAAATAGTGTAGAATATATAGAACATTCTGCCAAGGCAAAGTGCCTGAAGCACTTCTGTTTTCTCCAGGGAAGTGCTTCTATCTTAACTGGCACTGTAAAAGGATTTTTGATATATCTCTGCTCAAGTTCCCTCAAAGTCCAGCCTAGCAGCTGTGCTTGAAGCACATCTGCCCAACGTGTGTTGCCAGAGAGGTTAACATTGGTCATAGCAGCCATAACAACCTTCCCTCAAAATCATGATCTGGAGTGATGAATTTTGTGTCGTTTATATAATAATGTCATCCACAAGGACCTCCCCTTATCCCCATCCCTGCTCTCGGGACTGATTCTGTTGATGTGGGTGGGGGGGGGGTGATTTTGATGATACTGTGCATAAACTCTTCAAGGGTCATACCCAGAAAGAGAAGGAAGTTCAGGAGTAAACAGGAAAAACTCAGACTTTGCCACAATTTGTGTTTGTGAGAAGGAATATACCCTTAGGGAAACATTAGGAA